CGACCACAGGACACACCTTGTTTTAGAGGGGAAGGGGAAAAAAATCTCCCCCTCTCTGCTCAGTGCCCCTTCAGTGAAGCGGCAGGTGAAACGGAGCCCCTTCCATTTCTCCTCCCGCTTCGCTGAAGGGGCGCTGCGCAGAGAGGGAAAGCTGTGCAGCGCCTCTCCAGCGAAGCAAAGCCAGGAGAGCAAGAGGGATCGGTGTGCACCAACCCCTCTCGCTCTCCAGGCTTCAGCGAAAGCAACACGTAGCCTCCGGAGCGCAGAGGGAGCGCTCCCTCTGCGCTTTGGAGGCTTCGCGTTGCTATCGCTGAAGCTAAGGAGCCTGCATTTGCTCCATAAGACACACACACATTTCCCCCTTAATTTTTGGAGGGGGAAAAGTGCGTCTTATAGAACGAAAAATACGGTACGTTGTCAAAAAAATATTCAGCCCTATAATGTTATAAGAAACTGTATATATGTATGTACAGTATATGCATGTGTTTAGTGTGTCTGTGTATGTCTCTGTGTGTGTATACAGAGAGAGAAAATAATCACTGTACAATGAGCAAGAGACACTTCATTGGACTTGTGCTGGCTGGCCGATAGGTTTGTAAAAATGCAACATATCTTAGAGGGCATGAAATCAAGGAGCGCACAAGCCTTGCTAGATTACTTTGTTGTGGCTGCTGCTTGCTGTTTAAAAGTGCTGCTTTATCAGCTCTAAAACAAAGGCTGCCTCAAGCCATTACCCAAAAGCGTGACAAGCCAGATTTGACAACTAAAATTACAGCTTAAGTGGATAACACCACAGCTCCTGATTCTCAAAAAAGTCAACAAATTCCAGAAGCCCATTTATTCCCCTGTGCCTTGGAAGAGCTCCCTTCTCTTCTTCAGCGTCAATTCCCTTTATTCCTCACAAATTATTGTCTTTTCAATTAGCTTGCAGGGCAGGCCTAGGCATGTCTGTTCAGAAGTCCAATGGGACGTCCGCCTAGGTATGTTTGTGTAGGATTGCAGCCTTAGATGAAGCCTCACCTAAACTCCTTCTTCCCATCACCACCGCCAAGAAAGCCCGGCCTCAATTTCAAGGCTTGACAATAACCACATGGTTCTTTCAGATTCACAGTTAGCTCTCTTTCCTCTTCTCTGCACATAACATAGAGCCGCCACCCAAAAAAAAACCCATGTTGAGCAGCCATCACCACCTTTTCTAGCTGACAAAGAGACAATGGAGAAAGAGGGGGGCTTGTTGCCCTTCCTTTCCTGCCACACCACACGTAGGGAAAAGCTGCATCCCCCAGATGCCTCTGGAATAAATTGCTCAGCACCTCAGAGAAGAAAAGGGTCTGAGGCGTCTTGAGGCAAAACGGGAAGGTGCTGCCCCTCCTTTGTGAAATATCTTGCCGGAGCCACTTCTGCTTCTCCTCGCTTCTCCAGGAGCGGCAGCAGCAGGCAGGGGGTTCTGTCACCTGATGCGGCTGCTTCAGTCCTTCCTAGTGGAAGGGGGGCAGGAAAAGCCTTCCCTCTCCCTGCAAACGCCCACTTGCTGTGCTGGGCCACTGAGGAGGTCCTCCAGGCCATGAAGTTGGATAGCAGAGTGTGAGGCCTACCCCACCAGACATTCAGAGCACTGCTCCAAACACCTGAGGCCATTAGACCAGCCCTGTCTCTGAACATGTGAATGTGCAAGGGGTGAGGGAGGAGACTGATTGAGACACAGTGACACACTGCGGTATGCATGCAGCAGCCCCGCTAAGCACACATGACTTTTTCAGGCAGAGGATGGAATGGATGTTAGCCACTACCACCTGCCGCTCTCTGTCCTCCCATCCCTTCATATGACAGAAGGTATTCCACAGGGGACTTTGTTCAGGAACAGGCCACAGAGGGGGATTTCATTTGGCATTTGTATGACTTCATCCATATGACTGAGTTCCAAAATACATTACCATTATTTAGGCACACAATATGGTATGTAAGCATGTGAGTTGTCTAGAACTCTTATGAAGGCTGGATGGTAGGAGAAAAGAAAACATGACGGCAGGGAGGAGGGAGAAAGGGGCTTTTGTTGAGACGCCACCTGAGTCTGCATCTGGGAAGAGGCTTAAGAGGAAGTGTGGGAGAAAGTAGCAGACTTTCAAAGGCTTTTTCAGGTGTTTTTCAGGTTTCAGGTTACATCCAGACTTTCTGGGAAGAAGACACATAATGATTGATCCCTCAGCTCTACAAATGCAACCACAAGCTGTTATGCAGTTCTGTCTCTGTTCTTAGACAAGACACACTAGTTCCGTGGGTGGGTGCAGAAAGGAAAGAAATAAAATACTATGCAGTCATTACACAGAGGTAAAGTTTCATTTTGGGCTGTACACTAGGTTTAAAACAAAATCAATAGGAGCCCAATTGGCAGCTTTATTTATCAATTCAATGACATGTTCCCTCAGATAATAAAGTCCTTTCTTCGGGTAGTATAAGATCCCCCTCCTCCAGCTTAGGATCCCACTGTTGTGCATCTAAATTCTGTATTTTCAAAGCCACACAAAAAGCAAGGTAGCTGTATCGACTCTGAGCTCCATATTAAGGCAATACCTGGATGAGGCCCACCAAAGTGTGACAAAATAGTGGGCAAACTTTCAAGTTGCCTAGAACTCTTCATCAGGGTAGATGAAGAGAAGGGGAGCAGTGGTCCACTACCAGTCACAAAGCTGTGCAATTGGTGGGAGAGGAGTTGGCCACACTGAGGAGATGCCAAACACTTCTGGAAGAAGTCGAACTCCCTGCCTATTGATATCACACAGGTACCTTGGCTGTATTCTTTTCAGTGCCTGCTGAAGAAATTCTTTAGGCAAGCCTACCCAGATGTTTAGAAAGTTTGTGTTTTAAGTTGTTTAGCCTATTTTATCGTGGTTTTAACCTACTGTATGTCTTAAATCATGGCTGTAATTTTTTTTTGGGGGGGGGTATCTTTTTTGTTTTATCTTTTTTAGTTGCATGGGCCGTACTCTGTTTTGCATGTAGTCACCCGAGAAAGAGGTGTGGATGGAATTCACAGAGCAATCCTACTTGTATATGTCTACTTAGAAGCAAGTCTCACTGAGTTCATTGAGCCTCACTCCCAGGTGAAGTCATTTCCATAATTTCTCAGGTGGTCTCTAATCTTTGTTCAAATTATTTTTAAAAAGCAGGGAGCCACAATACATTTCTCAAAGCACTCACCCTGTTATTTATAAACCTATGAAGCAGTGTGTGTGTGCGCGCGCGAGCGTTGTGCATTGCCCTAGGGTTATAAAAAGTGAGTGCCCTAGGGTTATAAAAAGCATGGCCATTTTTATTTGTGGAAGCTCAAAGATCTACCCTTTTGATACCTCTTTCAGTCCCATCAGGGCAGAAATATCAGAAACATTCAATTAAAAACAACAACTGTACATATGCATCTGTTTCCCACCCACAGATCACCTCCCCACCAACCTCTCAAAAAAAGAGATTCGTGAACTGAAAATACAATTTAAGTTGCTGAGAGTGGGGGATTTTTACACTTCTTCCGCAATCTTTTCTCTCCATATTTTATCTGCTTCCAAAACAGAGCTGGCATATAGCAGTGGCTATACCTTGCTTACCTGGGAGTAAGCCCCATTGAATTCAGTAGGACTTACATCTGAGTAGATGTGGTTAGCATGCTCTGTAACGGAGACTGAGCTGTAAACCAGAAATCTCTAGATTTATTTTTATTTATTTAAAAATGGTTGTACTGTCTCAAGGCATACATAAAGCAATAACATACAATGCAATGCCATGGCAATTATTAATAGACCAGTGATAGCAAAACAAAGATTCAGCCTCAGTGCCAGTTCTCTGAGATTCCACAATATCTAATAATAATAATAATAATAATAATAATAATTTATTATTTGTACCCTGCCCATCTGGCTGTGTTTCCCCAGCCACTCTGGGCAGCTTCCAACAAAGATTAAATGAGCACCCCTGGCCTTACAGTGCAAAAAGAGAGAGCTTTTAAGCTCTCCAACTTGCTTGGGGGACAAGGCTTGCTTGGCTCATAGGTTCTAGGAGTACTAGACTTTTCTCTATCTCCCACTCTCCCACTAGCTGTGGGGCGGCTCCAGGTGGAACCCCTGGAACTGAACCCCTGTGTAAGATGAGACTGTACTGTATGAAGAAATGTTGTTGCTTGTTCTCCGACTGTTGAACCCTGAAGCAAAAGGATCATAAAAGAAACTCGGAGGAGAGACCGGAGAGTCTTCTGATCTTGAGGTCAGGCTGCCATGGTTGCAGACAGTCCTTCAAATAAATATGTCACAAACCATTTAAAGCTTTAAAGAGCCATAAACATTAAGATGGGATTGGAAACGCACCAGTGACCCAGAAGGAAGAATACAAAGAAAAGCTGGTAAAACTACTTCTGGCACCAGGAACACGAACTGGGATGTAGTTGCTTCAGGCACATGGCTCCAGCTCAGCTCCAAATATGGGGGGGGGGTTCCCCACTTGCAAATGTTTACCTCTTGTCCCATATTCTGTGGTGCTACTGACGTTTGATCCCCCACAGCCAGCAGCAAGTAGATGAGACAGGAAGCAAATGATTTTTTACATTTCTATATCATTTAATGCCAAACTATGCTTTTAAGCAGTTTACAAGGATAACTACCAACAACACAAACGTTAAACTATAAACATCCATAATTAAAATACAAAATAAACCAATCACATTAAAGCAAGACAACAATTAAAAGAGATCTATTAACTGTAGTAGTATAGTAACTATTTGTTTGCATGTTCTAAGGACTGCATTATGAGATAGAGAGGTGAACATGCCCCTCCTGAAAAAGAAACCCAGATTGAGGGGGACCACTGAACTAGCCATTTGTGAAAAGCACCTTCTCCCTCATCAATTTAGTTACATCAGTTGTTGGCCCAAATATATCCACATACCGTATTTTTCCATGTATAAGACAATATATTTTCCCTTGAAATAATAGGCAAAACTTTTGTTGCGGTCCAAAAAAAAAAAAAAGTGTCATCTTATACATGGGGGCATGTTATACACAGAAAAATATGGTAGTTTCCACTAATAGCTGCTCTTATTTCTCAGACTTTGGAATGAAGCAGAGAACAAATTCATGGTGACAGTTTGCTAACATGCAGCTCAAGTTTTGGACAGAGTAAAGAAGAAGAAAAGCTGCTGTTTCTCTTCCACATCACAATTTCTTAGCATAGATGGTATAAATAAATACTCTTCAGAGCACTCATTCTATAATAGACAGCTGCAAGACAATTTTCTCTTTTTGACACATGCCCCGAGCAAAGATGTTCAGGAAATGAAGGTAGGGCTGCTGCCGTGATGTATAACATCATTGTTTTGACCTCAAGATAAAAAGAGAAGAGATAACAAAGGCTTGCCACTCAACGGGATACACAAACACAGAGAGCCACAGCATTCTGGATTTTATGCAAGAAGCTTTGAGAAAGAAAGAAAAAAAATCTTTTGTCAATATCACTTTATACTTCAGTAAGTCCCATTCAACAACTCAGGATATTAAAATCAGTCATTTTAATGGGAAAACAAACAGACCATTTCTCAAGTGCATGTACTTCTGAGTCATTACCAACCTGAATGCTTTGGAAGATGTCCTATTTGTTACTGTGGGAGGATGAGTTGGTTTTCAATGTCAAATCTCTCTAAAGCCTCTTTACATATAGGACAATTCATCTTGTATTATATAAAATTCCACCTGGGGTGTCTGCTAGGTTGTCACCCATTTAAAACTGGGTTCCCACCCACATATTATACTGTGTCATAAAATGTAGAAGACTATTGCTCTGGAGTGGAGGTGGCATGAAGAAGGCTGCTGATATACATTTGTTGTTGCTGGCATATGCCCGCCTCAGAAGGTGTGCGCCTTGAAAAGGAATATTAAAGAAGAGGCCAAGAACGCCACAGTCCAGACAATTATTCATAGCTGTTAGGTCTTTTTTCCAATACACTGCATGAAATTGAATTACATCTGCAAGAACGGCCTTAAACCTAGGGCTCAAATCTTGATTTTAAATATGTATATGTATATGTATATGTATATGTATATGTATATGTATATGTATATGTATATGTGTGTGTATGAATATTTCTATAATGCATAAGAAATATCTCTATAATTGGTGTACACAAAAACTAATCAAATCAAAAATATGAACTCCACCCTTGAGTTGGATTTAATATTTTCATGTTGCTTTTCCAGTGACAAAGCTGAGTTCAATGCAGCTCACAGCAATAATGGAGCATTAAAAATTAGCGAACATTTCCAGCCACATAATTGTATCAGAAAACACAGTAGCTTTCAGACAAAATAGCCATGATCAAAATGATCACCCTCCCAAAACTAACCTATTTATTTCAAACTCTCTCAATCTGGATTCCCCCAACCCAACTCCAGAAGTGGCAGAAAAAACTACACTCATTTAATTTCTCACACAAAAAGCCAAGAATAAGCCCCAAATACCTGCACCTCACCTCCTCATAAGGGGGGGTGGAGAATCCCCAACATAGAATCATATTACATCACCAACCAAGTACGCCACATAATCCGTATATCCTAGAAGACGTGACAAAACAATGGGTCCAGTTAGAGAGAGACATCATTGAAAACATCCCCACAACAACATACCCATTTCTCCAAAACAAGCAAAAGAAAATCCCCACAACACTGAACAGGTTCACACAGGGAAAAGTAGGCAAACTATCCCCATCCCTCTGGCCTATCACCCACTATTCCGACACACAGCACAAAACCTCCAGATAAAAACCTGGCAAGCCAAAGGCCTACACTCTCTAAAAGACTTCTACAAAAACAACAAGCCCATACCAGCACAAGAAATACAAAACAAGCTAGGGGACACCTAAATACCTTAGCTACATGCCATCAACTACATGCCTTCTTAAACAATCCAGCAGTAAAATCAGCAGCCACTAGGCACTTGACCACCTTCGAAAACCTTGTACTGACAGACACGGCAAGGGAATGGTATCCACAATATACAAAATACTGCTCCAAAATTCCACAACCCCCTTGACGCAATCAAAGAACAATGGGAGCAGGAAATAGGCTATGAAATTAACCCCACCCAATGGACTAGAATATTATCTAAACCTCCCTTTAAGTCCGTATCAGCCAAAATAAGGGAACTCACTCTGAAACTCACCTACAGGTGATACTTAACACCACAGAAACTGGCGCTGATACGCCCAGGAACCTCACCAAGATGTTGGAGAGGCTGCACCTCCACAGGCACATACCTCCACATGTGGTGGGGATGCCCTAAAATCCAACCCTTCTGGACAACAGTCCTACAAGAGATATGCAAAATAACTAAACAGGTACTAGAACTCACCCCAGAACTGACTGTACTGAACGTCTTCCAAGATTGTAATGACCACTCACATTATACAGAGCTTATAACCCACCTGCTCTCAGCAGCCAGAAGCCTCATAGCCAGACACTGGAAAGACCCGTCAGGAGTAAACATGGTCCAATGGTATCAACTTGTATGGGAAATGGCCTTACTAGAAAGCTAACCAACAAACTGAAACTGACACGGGGACAAATAGAAAAGGTCTCCTTCACGCCAGTATGGCTCCCCTTTATCACATACACAGCCAAACAAGACAACAACAAGAATCCACTGACAGCATATGAATCAGTCTGGCTTAACTGACCCAACAAGCACTCCCCATCTCACAAATGCAAACAAACCCCACCACAGCCAGCCACAGACAACCAACCACATCCTGCCCCCCAATACCTCTCACTATCAAGGAAATGTAATAAACGAATAGAAAGAGAACCTACCCAGTTGACGCCAATCCAAAATCCCACACATGCACCATACTAAAGAATATAAGCCTCACAACACCACCCCTCCTCTCCAGTGGCGTAGCGTGGGGGGTGCAGGGGGGGCCGGCCGCACCGGGCGCAACATCTGGGGTTAGGGCAAATCCACAGGTTAGGGGGCGCAAATCCACGGGTTAGGGGGCGCAAATCCACGGGTTAGGGGGCGCAAATTACTTGCCTTGCCCCGGGTGCTGACAACCCACGCTACGCCACTGCTCCTCTCCCCCCTCTTCTACTCAACACCAATGTCTCACAACAAATGTAACTGATTTATAAGAAAGACTGTACAACTTGAAAAAAGAGACAAGGCATGTACTTTTGTAAACCAAGAAAATCTTTCATAAAAATAAATTTAAAAGAAAACAGAAAACACAGTAGCATATCAATAAAGTAAAAACAATTCTGTAAATAATGGGTGCAATATCATGCAAATCTTTACTTATTCATGAAAAATGTATGAGAAATGGCTGCTGAGCACCAGACTAGCACCAGCTGACAACTCCTCTGGGGAGAGGCCTTCTCACTGACGGCTCTGCCACACTTCCCCTTGTCCTGTACCTGGGAAGCAGGGGCTTGTTTGTCCTGTTGCTTCCCCCAGGAAAACCCGCTCTTTACAATTGAACAAACATCAATCTGCAGGGGGAAAAAGCAAACTGATGTTGGTTCTGATTCCCAAAGGAAAGAGGTGTGGGCAAGTCCTGAGTGCAACAGAGCAATCCCAAGCAGTAGCAACATTCATAATTTCAGCCGCAAGGGAGGCAGGGCTGGTCTCACTCAGCATCCTGCAAACAACAGCATAGTCCCCAGGAGCAACAGCTTTTACCTTTTTAGCCACAAAGTCTGCACCTCATTATTTTTTTAAAAAAAGTTTGTTTGTTTATTATTATTTGTAACATTCTGAAATAGTTTTAATGAGCTTCAACATAGATTTGCCTTCATTATTATTTTTTAAAAAAATCTTGATATGGTGAAAAGGAGCTGCAGCTATATAAAGGGTTGTCTCCTTGAAATATACTTTAAAAGTAAACTCAATTTCTACCTGTAATCTACAGTTCAAGTGACCCCAAGTGCAGTGTAACTGGCATGATTAAATTCACATCAATGGGATACAATCGGCTCATTTCCAAGTATTTCACCCTAGCTGTTTTGTTTGTTTGGCTGCACACAAGGAGTTCAACCCCATTCAGAAATATTAATGACATTTTGCTTGGAATGAACTGTGAAGTGAATACTCCTCTCTAAGAAACTGGAAGGGAAGGCGTTCGTAAGAAGTTATGACTAGCTGTTTCTAAAGAGAGTAGAATTTCTGCACATTCCAAGTTCACCTTATAACCACACCTTTCTTTGCGCATAACACAGTGCAATCTGTGCATGTCTACCCAGAATTAAGACACACTAAGTTCAGTGGAGCTTACTCCAGTGTATAGGATTGCAGGCTAAACTAACTTGATTATTTTTTGTTTGAAACTGTCCTACCCTTTTATGAAGTCATCTGAAAATGAAAAGAGTGCAATTTAGACCCATGGATAAAGCATGGCAAAGTAAAATATCACTACCTTCTTCGATATTAGGTGAACATATCTACCATAATTATAGTCTCTAACTTCTATAATAAGCATTCAAAATAAAATAAACTAGGAAAATCTAGATCTCAATGTCATGGAACTCAATAGTAGGTATTTGGGAACAAAAGACTGACATCTTACTTGGAAGGTCTATGCAGTGGGGGAAACTATGCTAAACCCTCATCTCTAACACTTTGTGGTTTCCTTTTACAATCAAGCAGCATATGAATTTTATGAAATAAATAAAATAAACACCAGACACGTAAATACTTGCAGAACATCACGATCTAGTCCCACGCCCATGGAGAAGACATAACAGGCTGCAATTGGGACAGAACGTGGCGTCAGTCTGTGGAATGGAAGGTTAAGGATCCATGCTTGAAACAGGCAAAGTAAACAGCATATAAGAAGCAACCGTTTTCCTCAAAGCTCTACACTGTTGCAAACTGATATGAGGTTTGCTTTTTATTCTCTGCAACAAGCAAAATAAGGATATAAAATTATAGATAATTGCAGATAACAAAATATGAAGCAAGTCTGCTTGAAGCAGCTATTGTTTGAATTTACACAACTGCTGCTCTTTGGCGCTCATAAAAATACATCATTTGTAGATAATTTACTATGGGCTTTCTAGTGGTAGTGATAAAAGGGACCATATAATTGCCTGTGAATTCTCTTACAAAGGTTTTGAAATCCCTCAGTCCTTGGGCTGAGGGGACCCAGTGTTGCCAATGATATACTTACAGCACGTGGGATGTTCACAGACTCTTATTACCCTATTATTATATTACATTAAGCTGGCATTCTCACCTTTGCAAGTGCCTCAGTAAATTACATCCTTTATTTCCCCACAAGTAACTACAGTGCTTTATCCCATTTTATCTTTGCAACAAGCCTGGGAGGCCAATTAAACTGAATTACTGGCCCAGGTTTTATGGTTTAAGTGAAGATTTTGAATGCAGGTAACTCCAGTCCAAGTGGGGATTCACTGCAACCCACTAACTTTCTGAAAACCGTATTAACTGCAATACAACTTGTTATCTTAACTTAGTGCTGGTATTAAGACGTGTTAAAGGCCTGCATAACATATGACTCATCAGAATGATCACACCTTCCAGAGCATTCATAGTTTCGCTGCCTGCCTGAAAACTGCAACATTAAAGGTATCATCAAGGACCAGGCAGACTGAAAATACAGTGGTACCTTGGTTCCCAAACACCAAAAACCCAGAAGTAAGGGTTCTGGTTTCTGAACGTTTTTGAGAAGCCGAATGTCCAATGCAGTTGTTAGTTGTTGTTTCCGGGGCGCTTGCACGAATCAGAAGCTGCGCCTTGGTTTTCGAACATTTCAGAAGTCAAACGGACTTCCGGAATGGATTAAGTTTGGCGCTTTTGTTTTTGCTATTGATTTTGAGTTTTTGTTTTTGAGACTTTTTCAGTTAATTTATTTTTGTGACTGTGTGGAACCCAGTTCAACTACTGATGGATTGATTGTCTAACTGCGGAAATGGGTAAAAGCCCCCCATCCAAACAATGACTATCATCAGTGCAGGTAAGAAAAAAAATTACTTTTAATTTTTATCCTCTATAATACCGTCTTATTTATTTTATAGTACAGTACATTGATTATTGCTTTCATTTTATGGCTCAGTGGTCTCGTTAGATAGTAAAATTCATGTTAAATTGCTGTTTTAGGGGTTGGTTTTAAAAGTCTGGAACGGATTAATCCGTTTTAAATTCCTTTCTATGGGAAAGTGCACCTTGGTTTTGGAACACTTTGGTTTTGGAATGGACTTCCGGAACGGATTAAGTTTGAGAACCAAGGTACCACTGTACATATCTGATTGGTTGGGCTGTGTAAAGTTTTGTGGGTCAAACGTGTGCAGGCATTTGTAAAAGCCATCACAGTTTATGGTTTGAGTACTGGTAGAGAAGAGATTTTATTAAGTTCACAGTAAAATAATGGATATACCTAACCTGAAACAATCTGAATTTTCCAACGCTGTTCTGCAACAAAGTAATGTGCACAAAAATGTATGTACTAGTGTGCATTGTTGATATAAATGCATATGTTAGTGAAAATAGCATACAGGAATACATTGTATTAGAGAAGGGAAAGGGAAAGGACCACTGACAGTTAAGTCCAGTTAACTGGGGTTGTGGCACTTATCCCGCTTTACTGGCCGAGGGAGCAGGTGTTCGTCCACAGACAGTTTTTATGGGTCATGTGGCCAGCATGACTAAGCCGCTTCTGGCGAAACCAGAGCAGCGCATGGCAACGCCGTTTATCTTCCCGCCGGAGCTGTACCTATTTATCTACTTGCACTGGCATGCTTTTGAACTGCTAGGTTGGCAGGAGCAGGGACTGAGCAACGGGAGCTCACTCCGTCACAGGGATTCGAACTACCGACCTTCTGATCAGCAAGCCCAAGAGGCTCAGTGGTTTAGACCACAGCGCCACCTGTATCCCTTGTATGAGGAAAAATGGCCTGCAAAAAGTCAAAATTAAGAACCAGCTATACAACAACAACTTCTTACAGATGAGAA